TATTATAGAATATTACTTATTGGATTCTGAAGCTAGGTAAGGGATAAAATGTTGTTTATTTTGTGAAATAAGGGGGTTTTGATGTGATTTATGAATGCGGGTTTGTGGCATGTTGTGGGAAAGGGGATAAAGTTGCGTCTTTCGGAGAGAATTATTTGAATTATAGGAAAGTTGTTGTATGTTCGGTGATCCAACATTATCCACAAGGTCATTAAACAGCTGATATAACATTCTGTAAACATTCATATCCGTGAAATTATGTTTATTACCATAGATTGTGCAATCCGATATGGCCATCGTCGATTCAGAAAAAAAATCATTAATTTACTGTTACTATTGCTGAATATTCTACTTTGACAGTTCTTGTCTCTGATTTTAATCAATGGTACTTCCAAATTTCTGGATGTTTGTAGCACTTGTATCTGGATATTTCGGTAATGTCCTGCTGTCTCAGTAAGTAATGCACATGTGTGATTCTGTTTGCTCAAGGAAAGTACATTTTATTGCTAGTGTGCCCAGTGACAGGATAAGAGAGTTTGCGTAGGTTGACTCTTCATGGCCGAGAAAGTGGAATATTTGTTGCATGGACCATGGTAAAAGTAGCTTGTAGCAAGATAGAATAGTAAAGATACTGTTTAAGGTGAAATATACATATTCAGGTCAACATGTCCTTTCAACCACATCCTAGCACAAATAGATTATATATAATTGATAGATTTTGAAAATTGTCAATATTTTGCACAAATATAATTTTTTTTTCCCAACATCTCAACATGCAAAAACTACTTCCATGAATAAAACTATTCACATAGTGAATTTCTGATAGACGTTGATAGAATGCTTAGGAAGAAAATTGTTGAATTGAAAGGAACTATGTTTTAGATAATTTCCTTTTTTGTTCTCCAGTTATGTTTCCATTTTAACCCACTTATGACCGGTGTTCTACATATGAGACACCTGGAAAAGTAAACATTGCCGGGCATCCTGATTTTGTCGCCTGTCGTGCCCAGCGCACGGGCAGGTTGCCAGACTCCCCCATGTGCCAATTTTGAAGCCACCCGGAAAATATTATCTTCAGCTTATAAATGTGCTGTCGCTAGTGGGTTAATATCATATTTATTTCATATTAACACACCCAGAAATTCCTAATATTTTACCCTTGTCTTCTAGGAAGTTCCTTGTGCAAGGGAGTGCACCACATCTTGAGAAAGAAATCATAAGCTGCATCCTACACAATGTCAAGTGAGTTGCCAAATAGATTTTCTTTTATTCCTTGGTAATATTTCTCAAGAAGAAAGTCTGTCATAAGAGATATTACCAGAAGTTATGTTAGACAACTTAGCTTAATGGGAAATGTGTGACTGTCACTATATAATGTTTGTATGTACATATTACTTTTTCTTAATAATTGCACCTTTAATGATGTTTTAAATAATTGTTGGTCTGAATATCAAAGGACATAGTGATGGCTGCAGTTACTGTGGGTGATTAACAAACTCTATATAAAACAGGGCATTATGATTTGCTGTCTAATAAGAACCTGTAGATGCTCTGTCTTTCTATATGTATATTAGATGGAGAGGTATGTTCAAGAATTATGGTGATTTTATATAGATAAGTCATTGTGATGTTTTCACGACCTTAATGTTGCTGTATTTCTGGGTGGTCCCTATTACAGGATTTTTTTTTGTTATAAAGCAAGTGATTTTTTATAGATGAAAAAACCCTTGGATGAATATCTTGATTATTACTACTATTAGATAACTGTAAGGTAGTAACCCCTCCACTCTATTTAATGTCTATGAACACCTTGTTGGATGTTGCATGTTGATGTCTGTAAAGGAAGTATTTGCTGGGAGATCATAGATATTGCCTATTTTGTGGTTGATATTCTTTGGTAAGATTAAGGTGGGTTGCCTGAATGGTCAGTTTGGTTTTTAAGGCATTTATTTACAATTGCTGACCATAATTATCGGCTGTCATGGACAAAATCAGAACATTAATGTAAATTGAGAATTTCTACTCAGACTGTGAGGGATCTGAGGATTGACTGTCAGTCAGTCCACTCTAAGTCTTTTTGATGTCTTACTGTGGAAATTATGTTAATAGTGCTGTTATATCAGCATTAACTTATGTAATTCTTTATGGCTATGTGTTTGCATGTGCAGATGATATATGTCTATTAGTAAGCATCTTAGGTAGGTTTATACATTAGGCTATAGTTTGTTTTTCTGTACTTGTGTGGTTATATTCTGAATGGTGACGATATTAGTTCCTAATGATATTAGTTTTATTAGCATGTACTTTTTAAATCCCATATTGCATTTTAAAGGCTTTTTTTTTCTCTCTTTTTTTTTAAAGATATCACAGGGCATTTAGATATCACAAACTTTCATTACTGATAGTCTTACGTTTTGAGAGAGTGGTAATGCCATGTGATTATTTTGCTTATTTATTTAATTATTATATATATTATTATTTTTTTTTTTTTTCTTTTCTT